TCATTAGGTATTCTAATTAGTATTATTGGTATTATTGCTACAATTACGTTACGTGTATCAGTATTAAGAATAGTATGTATAGAAAAATATGACAAAAAAACAAAATTAAACTTTTGTTTAATTTAGTATGCATCATGTTTATGGCTTTTAATGATATTTGGTATAATTATTGGAATTATTGGTATTATATTTGCATGTATGTTTAGATTTAATTTATTTTTCAATAGTTAATATATTTCTATTTAGCTCAAGTAGATGGATTTGAGGATGATGATCGATTACTTAATCCAAATTTAGTTGAAAAAAATGTAAATTTTTTAATTGAATTAATGAATAATATTGATATTCTGTTTCTTTTAGTATCATGAAGAAAAATTTTTATTGGGTATGAATGGAGGTTTAACCTTATTTATGAGTTTAACAATGGTATGTATAGATGACTAATGTATAAATCTAATGAAATCGATTTCTATTCTTTTTAGCTTGTTGGTATTATTATTATTCATTGTTTGATTGGTGATGTAAATCACTCAAACGGTCATACTTATGTTCGATCGAAATAAATTAAAGAACTAAGAAGAAAAAAAATCTTTTCATTCGAATATGTTGTTTTATGTACATACATATAATAAAAGAAAGGGAAGATATTCATCAGATGTTCTAATCGTTTTGTAATGTAGCACGTAGTAGAGAAGGTAGTAATTTAATATAAGATAAACAATGTGTATTTCTATTGCACATATATCACAACTGTCGTGCAGTTATTGAACAAATGTATTCTTTGATTATTTGGAAAAATAATCTCGAAGAAAATACGCGGTAATCCACACAGAAATTATAATGAATCATTGCTTCTAAAATATCCATTTGTAAGAAAGTCACAACTCAAAAACGATTAAGTGAGTCATATCCAAAGAAAAGACCAATATGAAGTAACACTGATCTATCCACATTCATACCCTCAACTTCTATTTGTTGATGATCAAATAAAATGGAACAAGTAACATTTCCTTTTCTTTAAAATATTAAATTACACAAGAAAAAGAATTAGAACGATAGAATAAAGGCCTATAGTTGTATACGTTGATGTTAATAAATAACTGATGTTAGATGATTTTCGAGTAGTATATCTAATATGACCGAATCCAGGTATTATATGATCTGGACGTGATGATCTCCATTTCGGAGTTATGACTTTTGTACGATTTTTTGGTGATACTGTAGTATTCAAAGGTGGTGTAGTTGGTGGTAAACACGAAACAGTATAATTTGATGTTAAACGTTTAACAAGTGAAACAATGGGAAATTTTCCTTGATTACATGACTGACCTGAACTATCATCATAATTAACTGGATAAATAAAAATACCACCAAGACGTTGTTCCTTAGCATAATTAATCTATTTCAGAAAAGATTGTTTTTTTTTATAAATGAATTTTAATTTAACTTAGTTTTACTTTTAATTCCATGCTTTGAAGATCATCATAACCAATAACTTCATCACCTATAATAAAACGAAATTATATATATTTTTTTAGAAGAGAAAATTAATTCACAGTGATATTAACCTTTAATCATTATAGGTACTTTACGATCATCAAGAAAAACTCTTTGCCAACCAGACATCATATTTCGACAAAGCTAATTCAATATATATACATTATATAAATTTTAAAAATTATTATTTATTTTACTTCAGTATAAGGCACACTGCCTACACATGTAGCAGGACTTCCAAGATCATGTAAATCACTTGTTAAACGAAATTTCTTTCCAAATGCTGGAAGACCAACTAATAATTTTGATGGTTCAATACCAGCATTAGTTAAATATTTAATTACTGAATCCTAATGTAATAAAAAAATATTTACTTTTAGAAGAATTCTTAATAAAAACAAACCTGATTTAAATCTTTATCATCACCTTCAGCACTTGTTGCTTGCATTAAAGGACTATGATGTTCAGCAATTTTATCTCGTGAACCTCGATAATCAAATGTTTGAACATTAAGCCAATCAGCACATCTATATAAATACATAAGAATTCTAAAGATAATGATATGATAATATCTAACTTAGACAATTCATTTAAATCAAAACGTGATTCAAGTTGTTGTTTTATTCCAGAAATAGTAACAGTAAGTAATAAACGAGGTCGTCCTGTTCGACCAGCTTCTTCAGCATATTCTTCTTGTAAATCCTATGAATGAATAATATTAAAACATAGTTTTGAAAATTTCACTGATTTTACTTTACACAACGTTGATAATCTTTTTTTATCTTCAATTAATTGTGGATTAGGTGTTGATGGTGGTCCTAAAGCTTCGCTTGGTTCAAAATTTAAATCAAGTCCATCAAATTCATGTGTTCGTAAAAGTTTAGTTGTTGAAATAACAAATTTTTGACGAAATTCATCTTTAGACATCATTTCACTTGCACGTTTAATTGCATAATCTTGACCACCAATAGCTAATAAAACTTTTAATGTTGGATCTTTCGTATTTTTAAAATCTTTCAACGGATTATTCCATACACCTAAACAAAATAAAAAAAAGATATAACGAATGATTATTTGATTTTGTTCAAACACTTACCAGTAAGTGTATTATCATCTTCGATACGTGCAAATGTATAAACAATATGTGTACAATTTTTTGCATCTGGATGAATACCAGTCCAAGATGAAAAATAACACATAATTTTAAATTCTCCATCACAATCACTATTAATTAATGGTAGCATCATACTGAATAATATTAGTGTTAAACTCATTGTTGTTGACTACTTATCAGTCAGTGAACTATAAGTGACAGAGAGAGAGCAAGAGAAAAAGAAAGGATAGCCGTTGTAATCGACATTCGTTGTCGTGAAAAGTTTTGTTCGGACAATAAGAAAAAAAGTTACGATGATTTTATGTGTCCGATGTAGTAGTAAATAAATATAGGCTCAAACGATTAGCTCGTTTCTATTTTTCGGATACAATTGTATATAATCATTCTATGTTATTGACTTAACGTAAATAATTTTATTTTTTGTCAATATTATGAACGAACCATCTTGTTTATAGTTTGTTTAAAATAATTTAGCTGTTTTTAGATAAATAGAACAGATCATTTCAAAAACATAGCATCATTCAGAATAATAAGATGTCACGGTCTGTGTGGAGGAGGGTAGTGAGTGCATATCTATCGTATCTGGGTTTATTAAGTTTGACATTTTTTTCGTAAAATTATATGAGACTTGTAAGTTAACTAGTCTGGATAGTTGAAAAACTATTTATGTATTTCTGAATCATTATTGTACCGCGTAAGAAATAGAAGCTGACTACTAGAAGAAAGAAAGAAAAATAAATATATATATATGTACAGCTAAATGAAGATTATTTGTGACCTGTATATAAATGCCGTCAGAATAGGGGTGAAGTAGGTGACGACACACATATATATATACATAGAATAGGATCAAACAGTTATTTACTTATACAATTTCACTTATATAGATATTTATTTTTTACTGTTGATATTTAATTAAGTATGATAATGCATCGATTTATTATATTACTTTTGTTAATTGTTCTTATTGATGCTGATTCTAATGATCGAAACTCCGAGTAAGTAAATTAAGTTTTGATGTAAATAATAATATTCGAATTTTGAATGTTTAGAAATCGTCAAGAACGAAATATAGATCTTAACAATTGGCAATCAGCTGATGCATTATTTAAACAATTTTATCTGAATGAAAACCGTCAGATGGAAACAGATTATCGACGAAGAGTTTCAGGATATCCATCAAGAATGAGACCAGTTGAAGGACCAATTAATGTCGAACATATACCAGCAATGTTAGCAGCTAGACATGTTAGACGTTATCCTTATTCTCGACGAGATGATCCTGCTATTATGTAAGTCAATCTCGTTTAATATACATATTTATTACATATGATATTCTTTTTATTTTGTTATAGTGGTTGATAGAATATGAATGATTTCTTGCAATTGATGTGTGTTTTCTAAGTTTTTTGTTATTTCATTTTGAATTTTGTTTTTGTTTTATTTTTTACATTGTAATATTGATTCGGAAGACGATGTGATCAGATGTTTACTTATATAATTGATCCATTTAATAGATGATACGCGACAAACACAAAAAATTATATTTTATACGTTGTTTAAAATGAAAATATTAATACTTAGAAAAAACTTAAATTAGGTATGCATGATAAGAATACTGTGTCAGTTGATTTCGAACTATTGCATTAATATTAAAAGACTAAACAAATTTCATACACGTTTTTTGTAGTTATTAATGGATCTTATGTGTTTTATGGAAACTTAGAAATCGCAGTAGAAAAGTCAAAGAATTGAGTGGATTCTGTCAATGATTGTAATATATAATTTAATACTGTTGCAGAAATTTTTCTACTATCGTTCATCGATAGCATCTCTTTCGGTTCAGGTTTTGTTAATAGAATAATATTGTATCGTTTAGATGCATCCATCAATGATTTACGAAAACAAATTTGCTTCATTATTTCATATGACTATAAAATAGAGACAATAATCGAAATCTGTCAGTGAACTATTATATTTTATTTAGTTTTCATTCAATAATTTTTCTTTTAAAAAATAGATTTTCTTAATCTAATTTTTCGATTTTGGCAGATTTCATTCTTATTCATTTATCTTTTTTCTTTTCTCTTACCTTTCTCTCAATAAACCATAAAATCACAAAAATAAATCTAATAAAAAACAATTTGTTTCTATTTACAAGTTTTTTTTCTTAATTAAATGTTCTTTCAATTTAAAAAAATATCTTATTTGAATTTTACATAGAAATAAAATTTTTCTAGTTCAATTTTCCTTCAAACTATTTTATTCATTCTGGTTTTTTAATCTAAAATTAAAACTAACAAATATTTATTTACTATTGTTTCAAAAAATGAAAAAGAAATTTATTAATTTTATTAAAAGAAATTTTTAATTTGTTTTCATGTATTTTATTGAAGTTTTTTTCATAGATTAATGTTTTTTATTTATTTTCAAAAATAAAAATAAAAATTTTATCAGATAAAATTAAAAATATTTTTAATTTCAAATTTTTTCATATTTTTGGATTCGATGATTTTCGCGATCAATAACATAAAGATTTTCTTCATAATCAAATGATAAACCTGTAGGACAATTTAATTGACTTGATTGATTTCCTTTACCATTTCCACCAACAACAATTTTACCTTCTTTATCACCTTCACACCAGCGCATTACTCGATGATTCCATTGATCGGCCACGTAGATTTGACCCAAATGATCAACAATCACTCCTTGAGGATAAGACAATTGACTGAGACTATTTCCTTGACCATTTCCACCAGCAACAATAATTCCTTCTTTTGCATCTTTTCTCCATTTCATTACACGATGATTGTCTGTATCTGATATATAAACAGAAGGTTTACTCCCGATTCGTCCCTAATTAATCAATTAAGAAATTTCTCATTTTTAATTGATTCCCAACTCGTCCCTAACATAAATAATTCGGGTTTAATCGATTCCCAATTCGTCCCGTAATTAAAAAAAATCGTATTTTATTGATTCTGAATTCGTCCCTTATCGATTTCTCTCTATTCAGTTACTAATTAAGTTC